TTTAGTTTTTTGAGGAACCTCCATACAGTTTTCCATAGTGGCTGCACCAATTTATGTTCCCACCAACAATGTAGGATTGTTCCCTTTTCTCCATATGATCCAGCAATCCCAATCCTGGGTGTATATCTGGACAAAACTATAATTCAAAAAGATACATGTACCCCTATGTTTATAGCGGCACTATTCACAATAGCCAAGATATGGAAACAACCTAAAAGTCCATTGACAGATGAATGGATAAAGAAGATGTGCTATATATACACAATGGAATACTACTCAGCCATAAAAAAGAACGAAATAATGCCATTTGCAGCAACATGGATGGACCTAGAGATTACTATACTAAGTGAAGTAAGTCAGAAAGAAAAAAAACAAATATCATATGATACCATTTACATGTGAAATCTAAAATATGACACAAAAGAACCTATCTACGAAACAGAAACAGCCTCACGGGCATAGAGGACAGACTTGTGGTTGCCAAGGGGAAGGGGAGGTGGGGGAGGGATGGATTGCAAATCTGGAAGTAGCAGATGCAATCAATTATATATATGGATAAACAACAAGGTCCTACTGTATAGCACAGGGAACTATATTTAATATCCTGTGATAAACCATATTGGAAAAGAATATGAAAAAGAATATACATATATACATACATATCTGAATCACTTTGCTGTACAGCAGAAACTAACACAACGTTGTAAATCATCTCTACTTCAATAAAGTAAATTAAAAAAAAAGAACATAACAGCAGGGTGACATTCAAGAAGGATCTATCTGCTTTTAATGTGAACATTTTTTAGTTTGCAAGTTCAGACTTTGTTTTAAAATGTGAACACAGCAGAAGATTATTTTTTGAGGTATATTTCTGCCTCTAGCAGAATAGCTGTCCATAGTATAGTTTTAACTGCAACATAATAAAACACAGGTCGTGGAGCTTGATTTTGAAGACTTGGGGTCAAGTCTTGGCTTTACCATTTACTAGCCCCCAAATCTTAGACGGTTGTTTGACTTCCCTGACCCTTAGTTTCCTCAGTGGACAATTGGGAAATCTTTTTCATAGGGCTGATGGACAGTTGAAATGAGGTCTTGGGCATTAAATTGGGGTTTTTACTACTGTCTGGCTCATCAATTGGATTCGAAGGACATTTTTAGATACCAGTTCCAAAGAGTTTGCTTTTGGTGGAAAATGCATGGATGTGTAAGTTTTCAGGCATGTATTTTATTTTATTTTTTGGATGACAAAATAAATGAATTAACAGTCAGGGGACACACAGTATCTAGCAGGCCTAGTGCACATACACGGCTTATAAGACTCAGTTATAGTTCTAATAAATTAGAACCACAGAACCATAGGCTTTGAGAAATTGTAGATAGACGCTTTGGAAGATGAGGGGGTGAGAATTGATTAATGCACACTGCCTGCAGGCTCTGTGCTTTGCATGCTGGGTATGGCATCCCAAGAAATGATTTCATACACCCTGATGGGTAGGTGATATTAGCCCCACTTTGAAGACAGGAAAGCTTGAGCTCAGGGAGGTTTAATAATTTACACAGGTCCCATAGCAAAGCCTTGAACTTCGCCCTGTACTTGTGATGGCCTCTAGAAATCCTTTGCTTTTACAGAAGTGACAAGACCTGCCTTTATACCTTCATTCCAGGGCAGCCACAAGTTCTGGGCCAGATAAAGCAGTGGAAATCGGCAGTCTTAATGTCCCATAACTTGCTTAATGAGTCTAGAAGAGTGTCTTGACTTTTCCTGCCAGGAATCTGCTCATTTGGAGCTCCTTTGACTATACTCATTCATCAGCCTTTACTTCTCTTTCTCCCTTTTGGGGAGATATTTGCCATTGGCCAGCTGCACTTTTGAGGTCAGGGATGTATTTGAAGATGACTTCATATTTTCTTGAAGAAAAAAAATTACAGGTGGAAATGAAATCTGTTGAGCATTTCCCATCGTCTCCTCCAACATGTGGTAGTGGGAAGAGGCAGCACGGGGCTGGGAGGTAGGGAGTTCTCACCTGGCACCTATCACTGACCGGTGAGAGGACTTGGGCCAAGCCTTCCTTTCCCTTTCAGGGTTTCAGCGTCTTCATCTGTAAACAGTGAGGGCACCATCAGGTGACTCCTAAGATTTTAAAACTCTGCATGTCTTGTGGTGTCAAAACCATCAATTTCTGCTGCGCTGCGTAATCCTGCAGCTGTTTCTCTGCTACTTGTCAATCTTCAGGCGTAATCTATCCAACAATGTATAATTTTTTAAAGGGAAGCTTTTATAGACACTTCTGAAAATAAAATGGGGGGGAATAAATGGATGTTAAAAAATAGAAAACAACCAATTAAATGGTGTATAGTATGTAATTCTCCTTGGAAACTTACAGAGAAATCGAGGCGCACTTTAACAACTGGTAATTTAAATTGCATTTGAACTCTGCTAATGGTGTGTTTGCATGAGAACTTCAATCATTTCACAGTGGTTTTGTAGCAGAACTGCTTGTTCTCTTTATGGAAAAGAAGAAGAAAAATTGTTAGAAGAAAAGGTGACAGTGGAAAAGGGTAACCCTGTTCATTTGCGCCTGGAGAGAAGCTAGCCAGTGCCTGAGACATTGCCCCAGGCCCAAGGTGGAGAGCTTTACCTTTCAGCGAGGTTAGAAAATCTGGGAAGTCAGCTGCCCTTTGCTGCTGTTGTAGAAACTGTATGATTGATACCTCCCTCTGCAAGGAGAAGCTTAGGTTTCCTGGGGCTTGGAGGTGGGGTCTTTTTGTTTTTATTTATTTATTTATTTTGAGATTTCACTGTTCACAGAGCCAGTGTTGGACTCCTCACATTCCATCTCCTCAGCAAGTTTGAAATTATGCCTTTCTCTCATTTTAGTGAGATGGCTTTGAAGTTTCGAATGCCTGTCAAGAGTGCTAGCTCTCAGGAAACACATTGCTTTGCTGGACTCACCTTGATTATACTCCATTTTCCCAACTTAGTCTCTTTCTGCTGTTGGGCTGTACGCAAAAACTTTTTTTTTTTTGTTAACATCTTTATTGGAGTATAATTGCTTTACAATGGTGTGTTAGTTTCTGCTGTATAACAACGTGAATCAGCTATACATATACATATGTCCCCATATCTCCTCCCTCTTGCGTCTCCCTCCCACCCTCCCTAACCCACCCCTCTAGGTGGTCACAAAGCACTGAGCTGATCTCCCTGTGCTATGCAGCGTCTTCCCACTAGCTCTCTATTTTACATTTGGTAGTATATATAAGTCCATGCCACTCTCTCACTTCGTCCCAGCTTACCCTTCCCACTCCCCGTGTCCTCAAGTCCATTCTCTACGTCTTTGTCTTTATTCCTGTCCTGCCCCTAGGTTCTTCAGAACCTTTTGTTTTTTTTTTAAGATTCCATATATATGTGTTAGCATATGGTATTTATTTTTCTCTTTCTGACTTACTTCACTCTGTATGACAGACTCTAGGTCCATCCACCTCACTATAAATAACTCAATTTCCTTTCTTTTTATGGCTAATATTCCATTATATATATGTGCCACATCTTCTTTACCCATTCATCTGTCAGTGGACACCTGGGTTGCTTCCATTTCCTGACTATTGTAAATAGAGCTGCAAAGAACATTGTGGTACATGACTTTTTGAATTATGGTTTTCTCAGGGTATATGTGCCCAGTAGTGGGATTGCTGGATCACATGGTAGTTCTATTTTTAGTTTTTTGAGGAACCTCCATACTGGTCTCCATAGTGGCTGTATCAATTTACCTTCCTACGAACAGGGCAAGAGGGTTCCCTTTTTTCCACACCCTCTCCAGCATTTATTGTTTGTAGATGTTTTGATGATGGCCATTCTGACAGGTGTGGGGTGATGCCTCATTGTAGTTTTGATTTGCATTTCTCTAATGATTAGTGATGGTGAGCATCCTTTCATGTGTTTATGCAAGAGCTTTGAAGCCGGTGTTCTGAGGTCTGGGTGTGTAAGTCCTGGTTTTCCTCTGAAGCTGATTGCGTGGCTGATGGCAGGTCTCTGGCCAGCGAGTGTGGGTGACTTCTTCTGTTACAGTGGCCGTACCTCGGTCCAGTGGAGCGAGCCCTGGACTTGAGCCCTGGGCTGCCTGCCACTCACTAATGGTGCGCTCCTGGGTGGCCACCTCCCTCCTCTGGCCCCCAGGTTCTTCTCTTGTCCGTTGGAAGAGTTGAAGTGGGTCATTTTTAAGGTCTCTCTCAACTTTGAGCTTGTACAGGTATTTGAAGATTGAATGGGATCATATTCACAAAACAATTGTATGATTGGTTCAATACTGTTTAAAATGACAGCAATGAAAATGGGAGTAGTCATTTTTCTGGTATGTCGATTTCCCCCGTGTCTACAAAAGACACATTTTGTGACAACCAGCTACCCTGGAATACTTGTCTGTTGGAATATAGATTGCAGAATCCATAGCAAAATACTGATTGTTCTTAATGAAATAAATAAAGTCCTCCAGTAATGAGGACTTCCCAGGAAGCATCAAGGTTGTCCAGCCCTCTGCTGCTCACTGGCTCTCATGTTTTGGGCAAGGAAACTGAGGTTCACAGCGGCCACTAGATCCCATAGTTAGAAATCTATCTCCAAACTCATACTCCTCGTCTCTTTTTATTTATTGTAGTTCAGATTTTACTGTTAATTTTTTCTTGCCTAAAATGTGAGTATCTAATTGATCTATCTCTTTCACTTCTGATATTATGATGAAGCCATATTCCCCCCGAAAGCTGAGGTATGAACACTGGGGTACCAGCATTCTCTTTCCTCATCATTCTAAGGCACATTAGTGGAATAGAAGTGCCAGGAGCTGACTGGCCGCTTAGGAGATACGGAGGTCAGCCACTAGATTTGCGGGTTTCAAGCCTGGTCTTCATTCCCAGTATGGTTTACCCAGTAAGTTCATAAACTTGGGAAGTTCTACAGCTGGTAAAGATCCTAGAGATTCATAAGCAACCTTCTCCCATTTCCACAGGTGGGAACATTGAGGAAGCAGAACTGAAGACAGAATCCAGTCACCTGATTCCAGTTCAGTGCTTCCTCCGTTGTTCTACAGGGCACTCATCGGAGGGAAGATATTTTTCCTCAGTTGGTGAGTCCTATGCAAAGAAGAAAACCTTTTCCTTTTGTAATCAATATGCATATTTTAATGAGTTTTAAAAAGCAGTGGTTTCCATTTAAAGCATGGGCACTGGTAACTAGGATGGGCTAAGAACTAAGAACAAAAATGTTCTTCCTGTCTTCTTGAGCCGAGTTCATTGGCAGTGGACAGGATATAATAATGCTAACAGCATGTGTGGCCAAGCAAAGACAGGACTCAGCTCTTGGAAGGTGGCAGGAAGAGAAACTGGAAGAAGATTTGGACGAATGAGGATTTTAGATTTGCCAGTAATTGCATTGCTTCCTTCTTTCTCCTTTGTCACGGAGGGAAGCGTTCTTGAAATTGAAGGACCAGAAAGAAAGTGTCAGTGAACAGCGTTATGGGCGTTTCTGAGGAAAAGAGGTAGGAGTATTGAGTGGCTCTTGTTCACCCCGGCGCAAGATGCTTCTCCTGGGATCTTACTGTATTTTCACATCAACCCTTTGAGGGAGGGGAAGCTAAATTCGCTTAGTCAAGGGTGTGCACCTGTGTCTTAAAGGGCCTGCACGGGCTCCACAGGGGTCTGAGTTTGAATCCTGGAATCCTGTTGCACACTCAGAAAGGAGAATGGTGAGCAGGTAAGGGAAACCTTCCCTTGTGTTTTGGAATTCCTCTGTGTTTATAGCAGGAAGAACATCGTATTCTAGAGGAGAATCAATGGTGTGGGATACCCTGGGCTGTAGGGGGATCTGAGGAAAATAGCTGGGGGATTCTGGGAAAGGCTTCTGTTTAGAATTCTAGATTTTTGCTCTCCATCTCCAGGGCCAATCCCTATATGCCCCACCTCTGGCTTTTTATCAGATAAATAATATGTGTTGCCATGTTTATGGTATAGTTTTTCAAAAGGGAGCAGATGCTGTTGTGATCCATAAAACCTAATTTCATTTCAAAAAGTATGGCTGAGTTTACAGTTACATTTTGTCACCCTTTGTTTTCTTAATCAATGTGTCTTTAAAGAACACCCAGTGTTCTTTGCACCTATGGATCTGCATAAGATGAAAGGCTGGAAACCACTGCTTGGACTCTGTTAAACATTTCAAACATGGTCTGAAATGTTTTGCCCCAAGCATGTACTTTGAGCATCAGATGTAAACCTTTGTTCTCCGCTCTACTGCCTGAGTTTTTTCAGGGCTTAAAATTAAATTGTGATGAATATGAAGCCCTGTACTTGGATTCAAACAAAAAATCGAGTGTGTCGTGACAGAATGGGAGAGAGCACCTTACCAGGAGCACGTTGGAAGAAACTCAGAAGTGTCTGTTGTCCATAAGCTAATTATGAGCCAGCAGTGGCCTTTGTCTTCCAAAACACTGATGCAGCCTCAGATTGCAGTACAGAGAGAACAACGTGGGTGGGTGACCCTGCCAGAAGCTGGCAAGTCCTGAGGTAAGGTGGGCCCTAGGCTCAGTTTGAGCAGGACCTGGGCTCTGTTTCTCTGCGGTGCTCCTTGCTCTGCCCTCTTGTGTGTGTGTTGGCTTCATCCTCAGGATGTTTCCCCTCTTGGTCACGGGCTGGCTGCCTGCTGTCACCTGGAAGCTTATGGCAGCTACACAGTGGAGAACAGGTGGTTCCTCCAAAGAGTATGTGAGTGCTGTTAGGGGGCAGAGAGAGGACTAAGGCTTTGTGGGTGACCATAAACCTTTTTCTTACCCTCCTGTTGGGGCTCTCCTAGGGTGTTGGACTTTAGTCCTCGCCTCCTCCTCTGAAAGGGACGTTAGCCAACTGGCCTCTCCACACTAGGATGCTGAGAGGACCGGAAATGATGTCCCACTGCTACAGGAATGAGACCGGAAAAGGCAGGATGCAGGGCACACATGACAATGGGCTTTAAGAATATAAAATGCAGTCAGAAGAGGGGCAGCATCTCCTGCTCATATGTGTAGCTCCACAGGCTAGTAGGATCTCTGGCACATAATAGGTGCACAGTGCATTTTCCTGGATAGAAAGACTAAATCCAAAGGTAGTGACTGGCCCTTTTCCTGAGAGTGTTCTATCAGGTGCTGGCCAATTCTCTGCTGGAAAGCTTTAGGAATTCTAGCACAGATGAGGCTGAACTTCATGGTTTTATGAGAATGAAACAAATAACTGGACAGAAATAGGCTTCTGGGACCAGTACACCTTAAGAAGTTTGCGAGTGCATAAAAAGGCAGTGAGTATGGTGGCATGGGGTATCAGAAGACCTGCCAAATATTAGATGTGCAGCCCTAGAAAACAACATCCCTGCACCTTCATTCCCCTGATCAGAGAATTAGGAATAATAATCGTTGTCCTGCCCACCTCTCGTGTTTGTTTAGAGCAAGTGGGTTGATAGATGCCAACTTGTTTTGCAAACTGTAAAGTGTGGTCCATACATGATAGGTCATTACACTTGTTTTCTTCTTTAGTTTCAACATAAAGAATATAAAGAAGCATAAGACAATGGAAAGTGCAATCCCCTGCACTGTTTCTGGTGCATAGTATATGCTCAGTGTGTGTCCTTCCTTCCAACTCTGTACCCACATCATCCCCAGGACTGGATGGACAGTAATTTGTCCTCAGTCTTAGAAAGGAGCTAGATCTGGAACCTCTCTTAATGATCGTGGTTGAAGTTGAGATGAAGTTGTGTATCATGATTACTTTCCATATTTGTTTTTGCTCTAGGCAGCAGGAGGTGGAGGGAGGTAGATTCAGAGACTGAGGAAGTCTCAGTGCTTTGAGAAATTCCCTAGAAGCTATAGTCTAGCCATTTGGGACTTGCGTTGCTTGATTAGATAGTCACACCTGCTCTAGGCGTGACTGGCCTACTGGGAGTCAGGAAGGAAATTATTTCCCTCTGTTGATACTAGCATACAATTGTTGATGGTAGCCAAGGGCTTTCAGTTTTAATATTTCCTCTTTGGTCCTCAGAAGAATCAGGTATTAATCTCTGCCGGAAGCAAAGCATTGGTCACTTCCGTCAGAGGTGAAGGTCTTGGCTTCCTCCAGTCTGTCAGTCAGGTGATTTCTGGGCATGTGTGACCATCTGTGTAGCCAGCTTTAATGCTTTTATGTTACTGCTTCAAAAGTTACAAAAGGATTTGTTGGGTCTGAGCAGGGACTCCTCCAGACTCCTGAGGCCCTGTGGCTGTTCTGTAACCAAGGGATGTGTTGTCGGAGATGTTTTGCTGTCCATGTAAGTAGAAGGTGGAGCTGGCTCTTTTGTTTCCTTCCTCCTAATTCCACGTGCTTCTATTTCCTGACCTCAGCACAGTGGACACACTTGTTCTCTACCTTGGGCAGAGCCCTAGGTTGTCAGGAGTTCTCAGGTTCTCCCCCATTGGGCTACTATGTGGTGGAGGGGGGCTGATGGCGAATGGATGGAGAGCCCTGTTAGTCCTGTATAGATTGCTGCCAAATATTTACCCCTGGTTCACAGGGCGTGTGCTTGCTCTCTGCCCAGGTCTTTTTTTTTTTTTTCTTTAACATCTTTATTGGAGTATAATTGCTTTACAATGGTGTGTTAGTTTCTGCTTTATAACAAAGTGAACCAGCTGTACATATACGTATATCCCCATATCTCCTCCCTCTTGCATCTCCCTCCCACCTTCCCTATCCCACCGCTCTAGGTGGTCACAAAGCAGGGAGCTAATCTCCCGATACTATGTGGCCGCCTCCCACTAGCTGTCTGTTTCACATTTGGTAGTGTATATATGTCCATGCCACTCTCTCACTTCATCCCAGCTGACCCTTCCCCCTCCCCGTGTCCTCAAGTCCATTCTCTCCCTCTGCGTCTTTATTCCTGTCCTGCCCGTAGGTTCTTCAGAACCATTTTTGTTTTTTCTCCTTTAGATTCCGTATATACGTGTTAGCATACGGTATTTGTTTTTCTCTTTCTGACTTACTTCACTCTGTATGACAGACTCCAGGACCATCCACATTACTACAAATAACTCAATTTCATTTTAGTTTAACTGAGTAATATTCCATTGTATATATGGGCCACATCTTCTTTATCCATTCATCTGTCGATGGACACTTAGGTTGCTTCCATGTCCTGGCTATTGTAAATAGAACTGCAGTGAACAGTGTGGTACATGACTCTTTTCGAATTATGGTTTACTCAGGGTATATGCCCAGTAGTGGGATTGCTGGGTCGTATGGTGGTTCTATTTTTAATTTTTTAAGGAACCTCCATGCTGTTCTCCATAGTGGCTGTATCAATTTGCATTCCCACCAACAGTGCAAGAGGGTTCCTTTTTCTCCATGCCCTCTGCAGCATGTATAGTTTGTAGATTTTTTGACGATGGCCATTCTGACTGGTGTGAGGTGATACCTCATTGTAGTTTTGATTTGCATTTCTCTAATGGTCAGTGATGCTGAGCATCCTTTCGTGTGTTTGTTGGCAATCTGTATATCTTCTTTGGACAAATGTCTATTTAGGTCTTCTGCCCATTTTTGGATTGGGTTGTTTGTTTCTTTGATATTGAGCTGCATGAGCTGCTTGTAAATTTTGGAGATTAATCCTTTGTCAGTTGCTTCATTTGCAAATATTTTCTCCCATTCTGAGGGTTGTCTTTTCACCTTGTTTGTAGTTTCCTTTGCTGTGCAAAAGGTTTTAAGTTTCATTAGGTCCCATTTGTTTATTTTCATTTCCATTTCTCTAGGAGGTGGGTCAGAAAGGATCTTGCTGTGATTTATGTCGTAGAGTGTTCTGCCTGTGTTTTCCTCTAAGAGTTTTATAGTGTCTGGTCTTACATTTAGGTCTTTAATTCATTTTGAGTTTATTTTTGTGTATAGCGTTAGGGAGTGTTCTAATTTCATTCTTTTCCATGTAGCTGTCCAGTTTTCCCAGCACCGCTTATTGAAGAGGGTGTCTTTTCTCCATTGTATATTCTTGCCTCCTTTATCAAAAATAAGGTGACCATAGGTGCATGGGTTTATCTCTGGGCTCTCCATCCTGTTCCTTTGATCTACATTTCTGTTTTTGTGTCAGTAC